CAGATGGGGTTAAGCAGAACCACGTTGAGAAGGGTGTTAAATGAAGACTTAGGGCTTCGGGCATATCGAAGAAAAACAGGACATCGTTTGAATGCTCGTCTAATGGATTTGAGACTGAAGAGATGCCGCGCTTTGTTGAAGCGGTACGCGGGAAAAAAATATCGGGAAATTCTTTTTTCGGATGAAATAGTATATTTCATTACTAGTACGGAATGGTTGTCATTGCAAAGAGTTCCGACAAATGTCTACCCGAGCCGAAGGCAAGGGTTGACAGTCGGAACGAGTTGCAATGACGGTTCCGTACGTGTACTGAACGACTATTTTTAATACAGTTGCGAAAAAATGAAGCAATTTAATCAAATTATAAAAACACAATAAACTCAATTAACTAATCATTTATTTCTTATAAAAGTTATAATTCACATATACATTGAAATTGGTACAGTTTTTTATACTAACTGGGGAAGTTTTACGTTGCATATTTACTGTTTGAGACAAACTATTATTAATTTCGTATGATTGTTCATGTATATTTGTCATACAATGGCGTTTGCTAGTTGATGGAATTGGATCTGATGAATTATCATTATCAACGAAGGTACTCGTAGATGGACGAACGTTCTCTTCAGCATGTGAAGGAGACGGACTGGACCTTAAATTAATGGATTGTGTGATCTTTTTCCCAGTTTCTAGTTTGTTGTTTAATGAATCACCAATATAGCTTTCTGCAACTTTGTCCGATTTCCAACCACCTAGTCGCTTTAAGGACGTACAATTGGCTCCTGAATCAGCCAATAATGTAGCAGAGGTCCTTCTGAAGCTGTGCCCAGTATAACACTCAGCATCCGGCAGACCAAGAAACGTAGCTATTTCTTTTGGCATATTACCAAATTTGTTTATGCCGATTACTTGAGCTGTACACTTCCCTTTTTGGAAATTTTGAAAAAAAACGGTCGGAATTTCCTTTTTGGGACCGCTGGTTCATATATTTTTTCACTATTGTGAGAAAATCTCCTTCAACAACAAAGCTTCGCGGTATCTTATTTTTTGTGTTTGGAATCTTGATAAGTAGCATTTCTCCATGCGTTCAAAATCTTTTAAAGTAATATTGGCTAACTCCTCTCTGCGGCAAGCTCCAACAACGCCAAAAATCAGAGCAACCTAAAAAAAACGATTTGATTCATATAAATAATGTATTGACTGTATTTTGCGATTTTGTAAACTGAACACTAAAGAAAAATGTAGATATGTATACTTATTAATAAATTACCTTTGTGGCTAAATAACAATCATCGGGAGCTTCTTTCAAAAACCTTTCCACGTCATTTGATGTTAATATTTTCGACTTTTTACTGGTAAACCCGTGTGATTGTCGTTTTAAGAAAGAATTTAATTTTGGATATTGACTTATATCCACGTTGTTCCTTATTTTCAGCATACTTTTTATCATCGAAAACCTTGACCATAACGTAGAAGGTTTTAATTTTGCTGAGAGTTCGGAAAAGTATGCCAACATAACATTTTCTGAAAAACTATTTGCTTTTTTCTCTTCTTTCCACGCAATAAATTCATCGTATGTAGATATGTAGCGAATTTTTGACTTTTCCGGTAAAATGTTTTCCGAAGCATTTTGTGCAATTATACTGAGTTCCGGTGGAGTTAATTCAAAAAAAATTTAGGTCGAAATTACTCATTTTGTGTAAAAAACAACTAAACTCGCAAAGAAAACTTCGGAAAATGGCGCCAATCGTAGAATGTAAGCAGTTTTTTTTCACCCATTCTGGTAGGCAATGGGAACTGCCCATACAGCCAAGTCTTTAGTACTTAGTATTTTTTATTATAAGAAATGAAATTGAAATTTAATGATATGAAATGAACTGAAACCTTACCTAACTCATTCAATCAATTAATTAATTCTGATATTGGACAAATTAGTATAGGTAGCTTCTTTTTAAAAACAAATAAACCTATTTGCATGAATCGCAAAAACTTCTATGATTTTTTTTAGTTAAAACTTAATGGTTGTTTTTTTTAATAGAAATAATTTTGACAGTTGGGAAAGAAAACGCACGAGTTCGGGAAAGGCAAAAAAAAAGCACGAGTGTGAAATAGCCCAGATCCCGAACGCTACACGTCCCTGCAATACGCCACTTTTTGAGCAACTGTATTAAAAAAAATTTTACCGTAGAAGAGAGCTACAACAAACAAAATGATAAGGTGTACGCACACAGTAGTGAAGAAACGGGCAATCGTATTTCGCGTGTCCAACGAGGTCATTTTCCATCTTCGCTCATGGTATGGTTGGGAGTTTCTTATTAGGGCTTAACAGTAAAAATGTACCTCATTTTTGTGGGAAAGGTGTAAAAACGAATGCGGTTGTGTATCAAAATACAGTCCTGACGAACCTTTTGGAACCTGTTACTCATACCATGTTCAACAACAGGGACTACTGTGGCCAACAAGATTCGGCGCCAGCTCATAGAGCGAAGAGCACACAAGAATGGCTGGCTGGCGGTGCGTGAAATCGACTTCATCCGGCACGAAGACTGGCCCTCCTCCGGTCCAGATTTGAGTCCGTTAGATTACAAGATATGGCAACACTTGGAGGAAAAGGCGTGCTCAAAGCCTCATCCGAATTTGGAGTCACTCAAGACATCCTTGATTAAGGCAGCCGCCGATATTGACATGGACCTCGTTCGTGCTGCGATAGACGACTGGCCGCGCAGATTGAAGGCCTGTATTCATAATCACGGAGGTCATTTTGAATAAACTTTATTGTCATAAGAATCTATGTTTTGTTAAGTTCATTTTGGTATATAAATGGTTACATAATGAATAAACTTGTTTCAATTATTTTATATTCTACGTGACAGAATTTATGACCTGACTAGGTATATACAGGGCTAAAGAAGTTTGTCATTAGTCGTGTGGTCATAAGCACACTCGTTTTTTTTGTTGTTGTTTCTAATAAGTTGACCATTATTGTTCATACCTTAAAACTGATTTAAACGTTTGTCTGTAATGTAATTATGGAACTGCACTTGTGTAATGGGATTTATATTGTTATTCCAATAAATGATAAATCGTTGAACATATTGTTGTCCTATTTATTGGTTGATTTCGATTGCGGTGAAGTATCTTACATAATGTCAAGGACCGTTGATAGTGTTTCTAATTATACGACCACCACTGTATATATATGGGTATGGCCGCAAAAAATTGTACAAATAACATTCATGACATCGTAACACACGTTACGTACATGACAGAACGTTACATACATGACCATCATAAAGCTTAGTTCATAATAGAACCTATTGTAGTAGTTCTACTGGTACTAAATAGTTCTAGGCCTGTGGTGGTGATATTATATTTTTTTGATTAACTTTTGGCTTTAGATTTTTTCTTCATATAATATTCTTTGGTTAGCCCATCTTCTTTGTATTTTTCGTACCAAGAATGTGTTTTCATGAGTTTCAGCACTAACACTTCAGTGATATTATTAGTTTTCGCAGTATCTTTTGACTTCATTTTGCGACGATTTTGACTGGCTCGCCACGGTTTTCTTTTCAATCTTTTATTTTCTTCGGTACATTCCGTGGTTTTCTTTGTTTTTTTATTTTTTTCTGCATTTTTTGATTTTATTTCTTCGTACTTCGAAGGATTTTGGGTTCGTAACTTTTCACAATATTTAGTTTGCCTCTCGGCATTGGTCAAAGGCATCGGGAATATATGTTTTTAACTAATTTTATCCTACTAATATTATATATGTGAAAATTTGTAAGTTCGTTACTCAATATAGTATACACATATAATGTGTGCCAAATTTCATCAAAATACATTCAGCCGTTTTTGCGTGATTGAGTAACGAACATATAAACATTCAAAGGATTCTCAAAAAACCAAAGTTAACTCAGACAGAAGGTTATATTTTAAGTAAAATAGTGTAATCTCCGCCTTAGAATCGGTCATGATTGTAACGTTACACATTTCGTTAAACATTGTAACATTCGTGACACAAAAAAGCGTGCGACATGACCTAAAAGTCAAATATCATTTAATTGCAAACAACTATGGATTGTGACTTAGGGTTACCGTTTTCTGTGATAATACATCTTTCTAAACACGTTAACAGTATACCACAACAAGCAGTACTTACCTTGCAATCAAACATACAAAAAACACTATTTTTTGACGACAAATCTGAAGTCAACACAAATTACGATTTTTATTTCTGAATGTTGGCGTCTTGCTTAATAGTGTTGCAATTTATGAAAATAGCAATAATTATCAAATCACATAAAGGAAACTGGTAGAAACAAACGTTACATTCATGACGTTACACACTCATCACAAAATTGGACACTTTTTTAAAAACGATTAAATATGTAACTGAAACGCTATTTTAATAAGCATGTTTAGAAAAACACATTGAGAAAGTATCATAATGCATGAGTACAATTTAATAATTAGAAAAAAGTATTTTTTTTTCGGAATTATTGGCAATTTTTGATACAAAGGTTGTAGTTGGACAAACAATTTTTGTATGGGAGTGAAAGCAGTACCTTTTAAATTATATTTTTTTTACATATATTTTTTAGGGATGGTAGGTTACATTTCGAATCAATATTTTGTACCGGGCTTGCGGGAGACAAGCGGCTGTAGTAAACTAACGGCGGGCGGCCACGTCAAGCATCAAAATACGCCTCAATCCACGTATAAACTATATGTGTGCCGAATCCCCTTCAGCCGTTTTTGTGTGATTGAGTAACAATCATACGCACTTTCGCATTTACAGTATTAGTAAGGATGTATGTGACGATACGTTCTCGTTATCGCCCCGGTGAATGGGGCGGAGGAAAAACGGTTTTAGGTTCGCGGGCGCGGGCTTGCCGTCTTAGCCCCCCTTCGCTGCTATTGGCCTCGATCTACTAGTGCGCGGCTCCTCCATCCAGTAGCCGTGTGCTAGTGGTTACAATAAGGCGCGCGTATAAACTTACGCTCGGTGCCGCTGCTGATGGCCTCTATCTGTTGGTGCGCGGGCGCAGGTTCGCTGTCCGGTTCGTGCGCCGCGCCTTCGCCGCTGTCCCCGGGCTCGCTCTCTTCGCCCTCCTCGCCGGCTTCTGGCGACTGTACAGGCGATTCCTGTTACGAAACCTACATGTCATTTGACTATACATTACTAGCTACCGCCAGTGACTTCATGCGCGTTGAAGTCAATTTTTGAGAACGTAACATGGTTACATAAAAAAGCATCCTATTTTACAATTCAAATTCTTAACTTAATAATAAGATTGTTCATATGAGTAATAATTAATTATAGATGATGTAGCTAATCATTAATATTCTTTTTGATTCCCAGTAAAAATTAAATTTCACTAAAGCAAGAAGCTGATTGACAATAATTGCTATACCTGTCGTGTGGCATTTTCACTATCTTCACCCTCGCCTTCTTCTTCCTCTTCGCCTCCCTCGACTTCCTGTTCTTCCTCCATATCTTCTTCGTCTTCACCCTCCTTTAAAAAAATCGTTATAAAAGGGCATCAATATTGTTATGCGAAAATAAAATTCCATATTAACTTTATGCCTAATTCAAATAGACAGCAAAGAGGAAGTGTGATAAAACCGTTTTGATTTATATACAATGTCGCTTAAATAATTTAGAAATGTGATGGAATTTCACCGTGTCGATTCCTAAAGTGTGTGACAGATATACTAGGGTCTTATTTTTCGCTTCATTGCAAAGTTGGGAAAGAAACTAGTAATGTCACATTAAACAAATTCTTCTGCTTCGGCACTGCGAAAAATTACTAACCTACGAAGAAATAAACAAAATTTTCGCCTGGGAAATTAATGAAACAAATCTACTGTCTGTTTGGCAAAGGATTAAGAGCTATTTTACAGCGTGTAGTATTTGCAAAAATAATTTACCCTGTACATTGTTCCCGTACATCTCTCATCGTCCTCCTCCGAATCGACGACTATGACTCCCTCGTCATCCTGGTCGATATGAGACGACGTCGGAACTTGGTACTCTACTTCTACTTCAGATCTCCCAAATCCCTGTGAAAGTGGAGCTCATTACATTAATTTATTCATTACACTTTAATCTTGAGGTAAAGGTAAACAATAATTCATAGTTAAGTATAAATAAAATGTCAGAGTAACCATCCTTAACAGAGTTTTGTTATATCTGTTAAAATTCGCTTTAGGAAATATTATATATATATAGTGTGAAATAGAATGTTTTAATGAAACTTCGTGGGATTGTTGGGTTACGTATATAGAGTATCCCTGATTTTTTTCGGAATTTTTAAAAAAGATTTAAAATAAAATTTTGTTTTTTTTTTATTATAATTTAAGTTCTTTCCTTCTTTTGGGTACTAAATAATTATTCTTTTTAAACACGCATACAGAGTAAGTAAAAAACAACTAATAAGCACTACTAAAAAAACCGTAAAAACGAAAGACGGGCGGCCGGGAGCAATGACCGCTCCCGCCGTTAAATACCTTCCCCTACCTACCTATGCGCGGTGCAAAGCGCAGTGAGCGATCGGAGTCTGAAGTCTAACAATCGCGCGTGCGTATCTTTTAAATTTGTGACAAGACAAGATTTGCAAATAATTCCTTTATTAGTTCTTGTTCTGTGGCCTCAATATAAGAAGTTGGATATGGTGTGTTGTTATTGTAGTATCACGGAATACTCAGCAGAGCCACAAGGCTTTACGAAAGTAGGTTTAGTGGTTGATTCTGTTTACAAAGTGTATACGGGAAGTTATAATGAAAAAAAAAATCGGTAGATCGGTCTCGTAAGTACTTTTGAATACCTGGTTAAAAATTTCATTCTGACCCAAGTATTGAACTGCAATAAGTATTTCTTTTTGTTTAACATTTGCCTTTTTCCAATCGTGAGCAAATTATTATTAACTACTTTAAGTTTTTCTCTGCTTAAGAGAAGATGACATTTGTGCTTATTATTTCAATAAAGACGATTTTATTGTATTGTGTGGAACCAAAGGAGTCGGCTGCTGAGCTCTGTGTACCTACTCACTCAACGGCTGGCGTGCGCGGTCGGGTGTTGACCCGCGCTGGCTGCGCCAGCTTAATTTTACTGTTTTTCAGTTTTTTAGAAATGCTTATTGAAGTTATACTTCTTTAGGCGCGTTATGAAAAAATGATGAGAGTGAAATTTTAAGATGCGCGCGCATCACTGTAACACAAAAATTAACAGCATGCTGTTACTTTTGTGTTTACCGCACATTAAGAAAATCTACCAACAAAATAGAAATAGAATCTCTATTTAGTGGGTGCTAACGACTGCATTGTGAAGGCCTATCAAAAGTATTTATTAATCTGGAACAACGGAACCAAAGCGCGATTCAGGAGACTACAGCACCATCTCTTGACCATTGGTGTAGTAGAACCAAAAACCACATCTTTATTTTTTGTAATAAAGTAACAGTTATAGGTATTCATATTTATAATATCAAAAGTATTTATTAATCTGGAACAACGGAACCAAAGCGCAATTCAGGAGACTACAGCGCCATCTCTTGACCATTGGTGTAGTAGAACCAAAAACCACATCTTTATTTTTTGTAATAAAGTAACAGTTATAGGTATTCATATTTATAATATTTATCCACATGTTTCTAGTTTGTATATTCGGAATACATGTTTGAGTTTCATACAACTGCAAATCACATATGTTCTAATAAATTCAGTAGCGATTTTAATTGAATATTTTGATTATTTATTTATTTTTTCAAATTAAAACTGAACTTTATTGACTGTGTCCTTTTCCAGACTTTTTATTAATTTATTGTAATTAATTATTTGCATGTAATTAAAAACTAATTTTAAACGATGCCAAAGAAGGATAACTTCTCACGCGCCTACATAAGTACACGCACCCATTTTTTTTTATTAGTTGTTTTTCACTGAATATGTAAGTATACTTGATTAAAATGAATAACTACTCAAAAGGAGGAAAGGACATTAAAATACACAAATTATAAATAAATACATAAAAAAAAACTTCAGAAAAATCCGAAAAAAAACAGGCATACTCTATACACGTAACCCAACAATCTCACGAAGTTTCATTAAAACATTCAATTTCACCCTATATATATTTAAAAAGACGGCTTAAATTAGACACGCCTAAAATCAATGTCCTAATGTAATTTCGCCTAACCACAAAATATAAGAGGCCTAAGCACGAATATTGACAGATCGTATTATCATGGTCAAATTTCGTATAGAAGGACCCAGCAAGTTTTTACATCCGGTATGTTAGTTTTTATGGAAACTTTCGAGTATGCGATACGATTACGGAGCCTTCAAAATTCGTGCTAAAGCCTCTGTAATATTTATATTCATATTTATTTACAAGAAACATGGTACAATAAAAAGATGTTACAATATGATGCTCAAATATGATTCGCTAAATTAACATGCAAATATATTTTGCGGTTAGGCGGACCTCTGAAGTCAAACTCATGATTTACTTCACTTTTCATACCTACGCTCGGCGGTCGTGCTAGGATTGTCAACTCTAGGTTATGCACAAAAAACGATTATCCCATTCTTATTAATTCATTATCATAATATAAGTGCATGTACAGTGGTGAGTTCTTAGAGTCATTTATAAATATAGGTATTTTTAAAAATATAGAATATACCTAGTGTCAGGACGGGACTGCAGACGTCTCTTGAGCGAACTAGCGTCTGGTGACGGTTGAGACCGACTCCGGGTCGCGTTTTAGAAGTGCTAACTCTAAGCGGCACGTGAGAAGTGTTACACACAGTTATAAATATTATAGGTAGCGGCAAACTTCTTGAGTAAAAATACAGACAAATAAATTTGCGCAGTCGACGTTTTTGTATGTAAAATTGCTACTTTGTCTGTGATCGTTTCGCAAGACGTTGGCCGGGGTGTATTCTATTACGCGTGTCCTTTCTGCAGTGACCGGCAGAGATGGCAGACGTCTCTTGGGCAGTCGAGCGTCTGGTCACGGCTGGAAAGTACTGACTCCTGGCGGCGCATGCGAAATGTTAACACCGAGCGGTGTTTGTGAAGTGCTAACTCCAGGAGGTGCGTGAAAAGTGCTAACTTCAGGAAGCGCGTGAGAAGTGCTAACTCCAGGTGGGGCATGAGAAGTGCTAACTCCGGGTGGCACGTGAGAAGTGTTACACATATTACCTGTACGCGTATCCTTTATGCAGTGACAGGCCGAGACTGCAGACGTTTCTTGGGCGGGAGAGCGTCTGTTGGCGGCTGGGAGGTACTGACTCCGGGCGGCGCATGCGAAGTGCTGACACCGGGCGGTGTTTGTAAAGTGCTAAGTCCAGGAGGCGCGAGAGAAGTGCTAACTCTAGGTGGTTGGTGAGAAGTGCTAACTCCAAGAAGCGCGTGAGAAGTGCTAACTCCAAGAAGCGCGTGAGAAATGTTACACATATTACCTGTACGCGTGTCCTTTTTGCAGTGACGGGCCGAGACTGCAGACGTCTCTTGGGAGGGCGAGCGTCTGATGGCGGCTGGGATGTACTGACTCCGGGCGGCGCATGCGAAGTGCTGACACCGGGCGGTGTTTGTGAAGTGCTAACTCCAGGTGGCGCGTGAGAAGTGCTAACTCCAGGCGGGGCATGAGAAGTGCTAACTCCAGGAGGAGCGTGAGAAGTGCTCACGCCACCGGACGACTGCGCTACGCTGGCTGATGTTTGGTTCACGTTCGCTGTACCTGTATACGGAATTAATAATAAAGCGCGTCAAACTTTATGGTGCTTGTGAAGTTAGCGAGCACAACTACAGTGCAACAAGGATATTAATTCATGCGAGTGACAGTTCAGGAAGGTCGCCACCGTCTACGTAATTAACATACAAAATATGACGTTAACAAATACGGCGGAAATAGTTCCAATTATCGCCACATTCATCGAGATCCTTGTCGCACTATATGCGCAGGTTTTAGTTCAGTGACATCGCGTGCGCATGGGTCATCCTACATTTAATGTACTGCACCGCAACTTACGCTAAATTCACAACCACCATGAAGTATGAATCGCATACTACCTATATTCAATTAATAACAAAATACTAGCTTATGTATCAGAAAAGAATGAATTTCAACACAACGGTAATTAAAATAGTTCGAGAGTTGAGTATAGTGTTCAACATAGGCATTCAATAAGATTAGTATTTGTATTATACATATTCATATATAGATCCACTCTTTGAAAAACACTATTAAGATTTCAAGCGTCGTGTCAAGATCTTAATATCTATTATCTTTATATCTATCTATTAAGTTTAACAAGTTATTACTTGTGAGTGTTGACTCGCTGTGTGCTTGCTAGCCTGACACACTGGTTGTGTTTGTAATTTATAGGATGTAATTCAAGAGATTGCATTTGTTATAAAGTTAATTGGAATTACTGTGTATACCTTTTATTAAAATCATACAAAGTATTTTCAATAATAAGGTTGTTAAAATTATGTAATGTATGTATTTTGTTGGTGTACCATAATTAAATAAAATAAAATAAAATAAAATAAAATTAATAAAAAAACTACATCATCGGCAAAGCGATGGAGTGTTTTAAGTATTTTCTACTGATGTTGATGCCGCGTTCTTTTCCAGCCAGAAGCTTTTGAGCAATTATAAAGTTTACAAAAAAAGCACTATTTGTGAAATTTCTTAAAATCCGTTTATTAGTATAATATACGAGCGCAGCGCAGATCAGTGCATATTACTATTTGCTGAAAGAAATTGAAACATCCACAAAGTAGTATAGTTCCTTGTTTGAATGCGGAAGCGAGCGGCTGTAGCACAGTCCGAGCGTAATCGCAGAGTTGGCTTCTGAATTCAGCTGTTAGAATTTCATGAAAATAAGGGATTTAAATACTTTATGGATGTTTTAATTTCCTTCAGCAAATTTTAAAATACGCTCCAACGCGCGCCCTTAAGTGAAAACCTCTCTGCGCGATCGAATCAGAAATGATGAGATCCGCAGAAGAACTAAGGTCACCGACATAGCCCAAAGAATTGCGAGCCTTGAGTGGCAGTGGTCAGGGCACATTGCAAGGAGGACAGACGGCCATTGGGGCGGAAAGGTCCTCGAGTGGCGACCGCGTACCGGGAGACGCAGCGTTGATAGGCCCCCTTGTAGTGTATAATAAGTGTATTTAGCAAGTAAGCAATATTGATTTATATTAAGTAACGCGCATGAGTCGCGACGGCATTAATAATTAAACATACAATAGTAAATATGTAATCTTAAAGGAATAAATAAATAGTTTTATTAGTTTCATAACTGTTAATCAACGGCTCCTACGACAACCGTGGATGGCGACCCTGCCAGTTGAGGTCTTCAGGAAAACCGGAATAAATCATGGGAGGATCTACAAGTAAGGAGGAAGTCGTGTTGGCTCAGACCGCATCAGGAGGTAACAATTTGTCCGAATTGAGTCAGCTGCAGCACCATGTCCGTGCTACTAACATCGTGATGATCGTCGTGGCTGTCCTGTTCCTTATCGCCCTACTTATTGGAGGATTCTATTTATACCGAAGGTTTCATAGGAGCTGGATTCGTGAGGAGTTACGAAAAGCGGCCATTCGTAAGGTTTTGAGCATCAAGAATCCGGCTTTCGAAGAGGCGTGATTAAATGAGTGATATTAGAAGAACTTATTATTTAATTTCTTTTATTTTCCTCGAGTATTTCATGTCGTATATTATGTGGTGCGCGGAAATTGCAGTGCTAGCGTTAAAATAAAGAGACAATAATACTATATACTTTATTACTATATACTTTACTATATACTTTCGATTATTGAACTTAATGTAGGTCAACATTATATTTTAATTATTAGTCGTAGCATTACTTGTATTTTATATTAAAAACTCTTTAAATGATTTTATTTTTTGATTTTGTAGAATTTTATGTAGATGGCAGATAAAGGGTTACAGAAGTTATTAGATATTCAACGTAAATTATTAATTATAAAAGAATATGTGCGTAAATTAGGACAAAAGCGGCGTATTGGACCAAATTACGAAAATCGTGTTAAAGAAGCGAAACTATTATTTCAGAATTTTGAACATATTTTAAAATCATTTCCATCTAGCGAGTTCACAAAGGACTTTCTAGATAATTATAAGAAATTTATACATTTAGATTATTTAAGGGATGACGAAAGATTGACTATTGAACAAATATGCGCAAAGTATGCAGATGTTTTCCACTTGCCAGGGGACAAGTTAACGTTTACAAACAATCTATTACTTTGAAGGAAAACACTTCTCCCGTTTATAGGAAACAATATCTTATTCCATTTTCACAAAAACAGGAAATACAGAACCAAATTAGTGGCATGCTAAAAAATAATATAATTGAGGAAGTAGTGAGTGATCGAGCCCACTGCTACTAGTGCCTAAAAAGACTGATAGGACTGGCGAGCGTAAGTGGCGCGTCGTCATAGATTACACTGTGTTACAAATTTAAAAAAAAATTGAGTACCCGCTTTGAAATGTCATGATTTTTTATTTACACGTATCGTTCGGGGATCGGGCGTCCCCGCAGCCTCCGGACTAGCTCCCTTCGGTGCCTGTATTCTGTATGTCTCTAGGGTTAGCTACGCAAAAGTTTCATCTCACTGCCATCTACCACCGAATTTCACTCTTCGCTAATATGATATGTCGCATAATAAGAAAAAAAGGGTTAAACAGCGGTTGCACGCCCTTTCACTTAAAGTGCACCTCATAAACATCCGAGGCTTGCACTCCAATCTCGTCGCGGTCCATCATCACCTCGAGACCGAGAAACCCGCTCTTATGGTGCTGACGGAGACGCAGATCAAATGTCCATCCGACACGGCGTATTTGCTGTACCCGGGTTACAGCCTTGAGCATAACTTTAAGGCTCGGGCTGGGGTGTGGTTCTACGTTTTCCCGAGCACAGAAGCGGACCAGAGACGCAACGTTTTCTGGTGGGGCCCGCTCGCTGTCAGGCATATATGCAGAGGCTATGATCACGTCACAACTGTTATTATCTTGGTTTAGGGTCAGTTTTACAGCGCAGAGATCTCTGGAACAGAAATTCATTAAGGGCTGTGTTCTGATGTTTTTGGAAATGTATATGCAGGACCTTACGTCGCTAGTAGTGGCTTGAACGAGCTTACCTCCTATACTGGAGAGTTCTCGCACCGTGCCACTCCTAATCCACGGCTCCTGGATTAGTGCGACTGCTTTGTTGTTGGTCTCCAACCACCGCCGAAGCTGAGCCGTAGCGGTTACGCTGTGGTGGAGATTTATTTGCAGTATGTTTGCACTACTGCAGAGGGACGCCATCGTCCTGGCAGTCGACGTCCTCAAGTCCCAGCCCGTCGAGCTCCAGGAGACACTCCTCACTGAGCGGCGAAGACGCCACCTGCGAGGGTCCCGGAATTTCGACAGCCGGTGACGAGGCACGTAGAACAACGGCGTCCGTGGGGCCAGCGCTGGATGTGGATGGTGTTGGGGGCGCTGGTGTAGGTTTCGCTGTGGTTTGAGCCCCGAGTGGTGCTGAGGGGTTGGACGTCGGCAGAGTGTCGACGTACTTCCCCTTGGCGTCCCTGAACTTCAGGTACACCGACCCAAACATAAAGCTGAGTCAGCGTCCCCTAGCCAGGATCGCAGGCACAACGTCCTCAGGGATCGAAACCACAACGAATGTGGCCCCGATGGAAGGCTGCTGTTGGATGCCGTTAATCAGCCAACGTTCGGGTGTCAGGTCTGGATTCCCGATCTGTAGGCATTTGCCTAGCAACGCCTGATCGTGTTTCCAGAGCTTAGGCAGCACAAAACCACACCTGACTCTCTTGGGGATCTCGTCGTCCCGGAGGACAACAAGCTCTCCCAGGTCCGAGTCGTGGAGGTCTCGTACCACCTGTTGGAACCACCCAAACGTTGCGGTGTTGGTGCAAGTGAAGCGAAGGCACCCGTCCGCGTAGAGGGGTTTCCCGCTAAATGCAAGACCCTCCCTCATACAGGCCGGACGCTCCGTGCTCATCGCTGCCTGTAAAAAGGCTTCCTCGAGCTTCTCCTCAATTTGCTCCGCCGTCGGTCTCGAGATAAACCCGGTCTTCGACGTAACGGCGCACCTGATGAGAGCCGAGGAGGCCGCTGCAGCTGCGTAGGATTTTGGGGCGGTCTCGGTCGCCGTCGTCTTAGGCCGTTTGGATTCGCCTCGAGGAGACACTGTCTCATCGAGCCTAGCCCGCTTGGCCCCAGACTTCGTCTTCGCGGGTCCTTTCCCCTTCTGCTTTGGGCGGTCCAGCTTCCGACTCGGGCCCGGCATCACCTGGGGTTGCTTGGGCAGCTGGCTGCCTTTCGCTCCCCCTGGAGTTCCAGAGCCCTTGTCTTCTGACTGGGCAATACGGTCGCTAGCAGAGGCCGTCAAACGGGCGGCCCGTTTGAGCTGCCGTCTCCTTCGCGTCCGCTCCCTCTGCTTCTCCAAACGCCTCGAGGTCTGACCGGATGGTGCAGGGGTCTGAGTTTCCTCTACCTTCCTAGCTCCTTTCCTGGTCACGACCGTCCAGTTCTGCTCTAGCAGATGAGACCGGTACTCAGTGACGATATCGTCACCGCTTGGTAAATCCGACCATTGTCTGGTGAAATCTGTATCCGTCTATTCCTCATCTGACCCAAGCCCTAGAGGTAGTCGTCGGATGTGGCGATACAAGTCAGCAGATTGGGATGGGAT